CGCTGCCGGCAGTCTCTACAGATTCCTTCAGATTTACCCCAACTTCCATTCCCGCTGGATTTCGTTCGGATTTGCTCCTAGCGATCCAAGTAACTGACTCTTCCGTGGTCTTATGTCGGTTTGAATCGACAGTTTAGCGTCTACGGCTCCCGTAAACAATATTAATTCAGCAGGAAGAGCTCACGAGGTTTGTTTAAGGCTCGTAAGGGGGGAGAATTGCCTAGAGAAGTGGAGGTCTGCAGGCCAAGCCAGCGGTATGGTCACTGATAGAAAATAAAGGTTCGTAAAGAAGAGGGGGAACGGAGAGAAGGGAACGATGCAGGGTGGCGAATAGTTTGTCTCCTCTCAGATGACCACCACTTATATGGATTAGTTCTGACCCCAGATGCCATACACCGCTACCCAGCGATGTGTTCACCAACTTCACCGTCATATCCCTGATTTCAGTTTTCGACCAGTAAACACAAACCTTTCAAAGTCAGTTATTTCTAAGCTTCAGCACAATTATTGCATTTCCGCTAACATTAAGTAACAAAAACCTAAATAATTAAATTATTTGTATCAACCCAGAAATTTGCTGCTGACGGACAGCGGTAAATATGAGATTCCATTAAAAGTTTGGCCCTTATGCAAGTTGGCGTAGTCGTGTCGGAGGCGAGGGTCGCGGGGGAAGCACTGACCACGGCCACACACGGAACTCCACCACACAAACCACTAAATTTTACTGTCTGGACTGGTCACTTTACCCTCCCACACAACCTGCACAGGAACGGCTTCCACAGCCGTCGCTGCCTCCACCACTCCACCGCTGCTGCTGCTCTAGGAGCTGTTCCACTGGCTCCTAGCCCAAAGGGGAGAGATGGTGACGAATGAGCTCGGAGAACGGCGCAAGAGGCTTGGATAGGAGGTGGTTGGCTATCCATCAGGACGGTCGGACGGCGGCAGGGTGGAGGCTGAAGGACATATTGGGCCAGAAGGAGGTGGGAGAGGGAGGGAACCAGGCCATATTTAATACCGGGGAGTGGACGCTGGCCGGGTTATATCCTGGCAAGGTCGTTGTGGCTGCTTCCCTTGTCCAGACTTGGTTGACGACACCATAAACTGGAAAGAGTGCGAGAGGGTAGGAGTCCTTCCGTTACCCCTCTCATAGCTCCCCCCCCCCCCACCCACTTCCCCTCTGTCACCCACGGTGCTTTAGAGAGAGGGGAATAAGGGTCATGATACTAAAGGGTAGAAGATGGTTCTATGGTAATTTTGTAAGGGAAGAAATGGTTTTGGGTCACATTAAAGGGAGGGGAGGGTTGAGGAGGTTCATATGAAGAGATGAACCGTGTTATTGTTCACAGTTTGGAAAGACGGGAAGACTGAAGGAGCAATATGGACTGAAGGTAGAGTAAGCTGAGGCTCGCTTTACGCTCACCAAGTCTGTAAGCATCTGGGTAATGATATTACACGAGGTCCTGCTGATACACTAACTCCAGCACTAATATCTAACTGCGCCAGCTGGAGACACTAGCTGCACGGATCATGTTGGGGAAGGGGTACATGCCGTTTGGAAACAGATTGCAGATACTTCCACCCTAAACTATGCAAATTTTCAATTAATTAAAACAAATGTTTTAACTTTAGTGGCCGGAATTCCACGTGAGAGGTACACAGCATTATAGACGGGAAGACCAATATAATATTACTGATTTTTTTTAGAAAGAGGCAGAAACAGAGTAGAACATATAAGAGAGAGAAACAGGAAGAAACAAAGTAGAACATATAAGAGAGAGAAACAGGCAGATAGAACCACTGCAGGATTACAGAGGGGGGGTAGGGAGATATCCACAAGACTGGAATACAAGTCATCAACAAGCACACAGGTTCTACACCACACAACACCCTCACTAATACCACCACTGGACGAACCACAGGTACTACACCACACAACACTACTACCAACACTGGACGAACCACTTCCAACACAGCACACCCTGGACCAGTGGGAGGAGGAGTACCAAAGCCCACCAGAAGTGACACGCAATATAGGAAATCATTCATATTTGCAAACATACATAAGGCCTAAAGTCAAAATCAAGAAATAAAGTTAACTTCATAAATGAATGGTTCACATGCATTAAAGTTCGGCGTGCGCTGCGTGCGCAAATATAGAGAATAAGAGGTAGAGCAAACAGCTTCCCTCCCCCAGTTAGGCCTAACGTTACCCCGGCAGCGATTGAGAAACCTTCGTGATATCAATGTCATATGTACTCACCTAGTTGTGCTTGTGGGGGTTGAGCTCTGGGTCTTCGACCACGTCCCCCCCCCCTTTCTAACCGTAGGTTGTCTAATCTACTGATTCCCGACCTTTGATTGTTACAGCCAGAGGCGGCTAGTTTATTGTGCACCCCATACTCATCTTGTGAGCGGTAGCGCAAAAAAGGATTACAGAGGGCACAAAAGATCTTTATCATACCTCAGCGGAGATGATTACATTAACAATTACATACTGTTGTTCTTGTTGTTTTAGATTCAGCTACTCGGAACAAAAAGTTGTAAGTAGCACGGGCTATGGTGAGCCCGAAGTGAACTTACCTGGCACAGGAGCGGGGCTGTGGGCTTACTGAATTAAATCCATCTTGCACACCTTATGATTTTAGTTATAATGCTAATTTCCATTCTCATATACATATATATTCCTCTTTCTCTCTCTCAAATACACACACACACACACACACACACACAGACTTAGGGGAGGGGGGGGGCTGGCTGGCTGAGTGGACAGAGCTCTAGACTCGTGAACCTAGGAACCAGGGTTCGATCCCGGCAGCCGGCGGAAAAACAAATGGGCAGAGTTTCCTTCTCCCTGATGCCTCTGTTACCTAGCAGTAAATAGGTTCCTGGGAGTTAGACAGCTGCTACGGGCTGCTTCCTAGGGTGTGTGTGTGAAAAAATTAGTTAGTAGTTAGTATCAGTTGATTGACAGTTGAGAGGCGGGCCGAAAAAGCAGAGCTCAACCCCCGCAAGCACAACTAGATGAACACACACACACACACACAAGGGGCAAGGGGATGACAAGGGGCCTCGTAGCCTGGTGGATAGCGCGCAGGATTCGTAATTCTGTGGCGCGGGTTCGATTCCCGCACGAGACAGAAACAAATGGGCAAAGTTTCTTTCACCCTGAATGCCCCTGTTACCTAGCAGTAAATAGGTACCTGGGAGTTAGTCAGCTGTCACGGGCTGCTTCCTGGGGTGTGTGTGTGTGTGTGTGTGTGTGTGTGTGTGTGTGTGTGTGTGTGTGTGTGTGTGTGTGTGTGTGTGTGTGTGTGTGTGTGTGTGTGTGTGGTGTGGAAAAAAAAAAAAGTAGTTAGTAAACAGTTGAGAGGCGGGCCGAAAGAGCAAAGCTCAACCCCCGCAAACACAGCTAGGTGAATACAGCTAGGTGAATACACACACACACACACATATCCAGGATGCAACCCGTAGCAGCTGTCTAACTCCCAGGTAATTATTTACTGCTAGGTGAATAGAGGAATCAAGTGAAAGAAATTCTGTCCGTTTGTTTCTACCTCGGCCGAGAATCGAACCCGGAGTTCATCGAGGTTGTCAGGACAAATGGTGAAGTTTCTAGGACAACTGAGATTTTCATGATTTTTTTCTCGTTTTCCAGGGCAAATATTATCTTCCAACACAAAGGTCGAAGTTCTCAGATGACACTGAAGGATCTTAAGACAGTGGAGTCGGAGGAGCAATGGTCTCTGGTGTCAGTTTACCAGCATGAGGAGCTGTCATCTTGAGCCAGAGAGAGAACATCAGCGCCCAGCATCCTGAGCAGGAGAGGCGCGTGACAGACTAAATAGCATTCACAATAAAGAAATCAAAATGAAGACAGACAGCCATCGACGAGAAGGGAGGAACAATAAACAAAGAATTTCTTGGCGTCCGCGACGGTGGTGCCAGATCTGTGCCCCCCCTCAACCCCTCGTAACCAGACTCACCAAGCTGAATAATCCGCGCACTAATATCTTTCATTTGCATCTCATCTGACCCACTAAAAATGCGTCGAGACAAGCTGTAGTCGGGTTTTACGGCCATCTTTTCTAAGGCAATGGTGCGGGAGTAAGAGACAACGCTGCCGCGCCCCGCCATCAGTCCCGCGTCGGCCGCTGATGGATTTCACCTTTCTATTCTCGCTTTCTACACTCTTACTCGAGAGATATATATATATCAAACTGCCATACTATATAATCTTGACCTAACTGATGGCCTCCTAGTGGAGAGGGCTGAAACTATGCGCGCATTAGAGAGAAGAGAGTAAATAATTTAGGCACTGAGTCTCTAACGAGACTCGGATGCGGTGGTGCCACATCTCGGCGGACAATGGCCGCTGTATGCTTCCTGACGCTATTTGCATTTTTATGCCCGCTCCTCCTTGCTTGTGGGTCGTGGCCGTCGTTTGTGTTCACCGCAGAGCCTCGGTGGTGAGCCGCGCGAAACAATACACGCTTTTCTTAATTGTGAATTACTGCTAATTACGAAATCCCGTTCCTTCAGTTAACTAACGCGACGTGAATGGGGGGGTTTGATTCTTCCCTCGGGACAGCGGACGCCTTGAATAGGATCTTGTGTAATGAGTTCAAGATATTATGGTAATGTTTATGGTGTTTTTTGTTATCAAGGTTTTCAGGAATATTCGTAGGGCAATCAGAGGCACGTGAGTGGTGTTTATAACTCACTCGACACCAACATGACTCGACACTTAGATGGCTCGACACCAAGATGACTCGACACCAAGATGACTCGACACTTAGATGGCTCGACACCAAGATGACTCGACACTTAGATGGCTCGACACCAAGATGACTCGACACAAAGATGACTCGACACTTAGATGGCTCGACACCAAGATGACTCGACACTTAGATGGCTCGACACCAAGATGACTCGACACCAAGATGACTCGACACCAAGATGACTCGACACTTAGATGACTCGACACCAAGATGACTCGACAC